AAAAATAAATTATTAGCCGAGTATGGTGGTGCACACTTTTAGTCCCAGGCCTCAGGAGGCAGAGACAGGTGGATCTCTGTGAGACTGAGGCCAGCCTGGTTTACAAAGTGAGTTCCAAGCCAGTTGGGGCTACAGGGAGAACCTGTCTCAAAAAGACCCAAAACAAATCAAATAAGAGTCAGACATAGTGGCACATGCCTTTAATCCCAGCACTGGAGAAGTGGAGGCAGGTGAATCTCTGTGAGATTGAGGCCAGCCTGGCCTACATAGCAAACTGGGACTATAGGGAGACCTTGTCTCAAAAAGACTAGATTCATTAATCAATTGGTTAAATAAAATAACAAAATTCACAAATAAATATATGTAACTGGAAATACTCATCCTGGGTGAGTTAATACTGACCCAGAAAGACAGACATTGCATCTTCCCTCTAAATCCAGAGAGGTCAAGAAACTAATAAATGGCCATGGGGGGGCGGGGGCTTTATGGATGGAGAAACAGAATTCAGTGATATAAGGGAGGAAGGGGAAATAATAGACTAGGAAGGGTTAAATGAGGTGGAGAAAAGGGAGGGCAGGGCAGAGAAGGGGAGAGATAACTAACACTAAAGGCCTTTAGAAAAGCCATATGGAAACCTACCACTATAGAAGCTTCTTAATATATATCTAAATACATAAAAAAAAAGAGGTTTAAAGGAGTTACCTTATAACAGAGAGACTAGATATTATAGGCTAGCAAAGTAAAAGCCCAATGCCAGGAATGGTCTTCCTCTTTTGAAGGTGCTGACCAAGGGTCCCACAGACCCCTAACCAATATTGGTCATTGCCCCACTCTTGGTTTCCTGCCAGAACTTGATGGTAAGATCCTTTTGATGAAGACACTACATACTTGAGCTGTAAAACAAGCAAGGAGAAATCAAGCTCATGCTGACTTCAAAGCTTCATCTCTACTGCCTAGTTTCCATAGTTCTAGAAGGTGTTATGCATGCTACTTGAAGAGAAAATTAACCATCAGTCTTATCCAATTGTGAATCCTGAAAGCTACAAGAATAACTGGCCTGGCAAGATATGCCCACTGGTGCAATAGTGGCACAAATATTGTGGGAGTAATGAACCACTTTTTGTATAGTTTTAAGAAAGCCACAGGCTGAAGCCCAAATCTGATACCAGATCTTGAAACCTGAGGTTAGACAGGCCATAGCAAAGAGCTTAATACTACTATTCTGCTAAATAGTTAGAGTATTAAACTGACTCCTGATGACTTATTTTTATACCCATAGATTAATGTATCTCTCAGTTCTCTGCAGAGAAGTTTCCTTATACAGAAGATGGTGATTAACACAGAGAACCACGACTGAGCAACATGCAGAGAACAAGGTGCTGCAGACCGTTTATCCCTGAATAGGTCACCGATGTCAAACTTCTGCTCCCAAAGCTCAGGAAACATTGAGGAAGAGGGGGCAGAGACTGCAACAGTCAAAGGTGGTGGATAACTACAAGAAACAGAGTTTTCCAGACAGCTAGGAAGTTACTCACATAAACTCATAGCAACGATGGCAGCATGCACAAGTCCCACAAAAGCACAAGCCAGACAAAATCCCAGCATAGACATGGGGAAGTGGATAAGAAACCCCGACCTTACCTGAGGAAGTATTGGCAACTGCTGGGAGGGGAAGAGTCCATCTCCTTCAAAGATGTGACTCTTGGTAGATTGACCAGTCCATCTACCAGTGGATGAACCCACACTGAAGGACATTTTATTTGAGGACACAATTTGACTCTATAGGCCTTAACACACATGTATATATAATAGAGTATGGAAGACTTGGGCAGGCAAGTAATGAGGGGATCTAAATGTACTCAAAATATAGTGTGTGAAATTTACAAAAAGTATACACATATATATAATCTAGCAACATAACTCTCTACATTCATAGAATAATCATCTTATTGAACAGAGAATAAAATATCTGAATAAATACAACACCCATATATTATTTTTAAAGTGACTTACCAAGCTAACAATAAGTGGCAAATTTTATAAACTGATAAAGAAGACCTATGAAAACCCATAGCTGGCATCATACTTCATGAATTTCTCCCTATGATCAGAAATAAGGTTACGATGCCTGCTTTCACCACATGTTCTCAGTATAGGATGCAGTTCTCTATTGCAACGAAACAAGAAACAGATAAATAATTCGGGCTAAAAAAGAAAAGGTAAGCTACTTATTTGCAAATAACATGATTATGTATGAAAAAAGTCTTAATACCTCTAGGGTTTATAAACTGATTTTAGGACTGGAGAGATGGTTCAGTGGTTAAGAACACTTGCTGTTCCAGAGGACCCAGGTTTTATTTCCAGCACCCACATGGCAACTAACAGCCATCCATAACTCCAGTTCCTTCTTCTGACCTTTGCAGAGGTCAAACATGCAGGCAAAATAAACACACACATACACATAAAATGAAACTAACAAAATATTTTTAATTTAAAAATAAAGTTATTTTGGCAGTGCCAAGCGTCACAAATAAGTTTCCAAATCTGAATCATTTCCCGATATGCTATTCAAAGGACAGTGATCAAAAGTACATTTACAATCCCATCAAAACTATAGCATACATAGGATTAAATTTGAGCAAGACCTCTACAACGAAAACCATACACTACTGCTATGAGAATTTTTAAAAATGGCTGGGAGTGGTGGCGCATGCCTTTAATCCCAGCACTTGGGAGGCAGAGGCAGGTGGATCTTTGTGAGTTCAAGGCCAGCCTGGTCTACACAGTGAGTTCCAGGACAGCTGGGGCTACAGGGAGACCCTGTCTCAAAAAGACCCCCCCCAAAAAAAATAGAAATGGAGATGGGAGTCTCAGCTTTGTCTGTAATCTTCCAGAATACTCAGGTAGCAGTGACGACTGCAGTTGTGAGCATTCATGAGTGAGTCTTTCTGTGGCACATGCTTTCCTTTCTCTTGAAGCAAAATTTTTGGGTCCTTTGTCAGATACACATTTTGCATATATTTTCTCCAAATCCATTGGCTTCTCTTTTTATTTTTATAAAAATACCTCTTTTGAGGGAAAGTTTTAATTTTTCTATGAAGTACATTTTTTTTCCTTTATGGCTCATATTTTCTGTGAACTTAAAGTCTTTATTTCTCAAAGATCATGAAAAATGTATCAAATAGAGATGACAAAAGACTTGTATCCAGAGTATATAAATATAAGTATATAAATGTAAGTATATTTATATCCAGAGTATAAAAATATACACATCCCAATAAGAAAACAGAACACAGGGCAATATTTAAATAGACACTTTGTAGTGGTTAGTTTTTATTGTCAACTTGACATAAACTAGCGTCACCCGGGAAGAGGGAACCTCAACTGAGGGATTTCCTCCATCAGACTGACTATGGGAAAGTCTGTGGGGGCATTGTCTTGAATTCTAATAGACATGGGGGCCTAGCCTACTGTGAGTGGAACATCCCTAGGCAGATGGGTCTGGGCTTTATAAAAAGCTAACAGAGCTGGTGAAAAAGCATTTCTCCGTGGTTCCTGCCTTTGCTCCTGCTGGAGCTCCTGCCCTGACCCTCTTCAACGATGGGCTGTGACTGGATGCATAATCCAAATACACACTTTCACCCCCAAGCTGTCTTTGGTCATGGTGTTTATACACTGCTGGGGGCACTGACACACCAACTGGACAAAGTTCAATACGTTCTTATAAAGGTAAACATATATGCTTTGGCAATTCTGCTCCAAGACAAGTGGAAATGTGTCTACACAGACTCGCACGAATGCTCAGAGCAGCTTTCATCATCACAAGAGAAGTAAACCAAATGTTCAGCAACTGGTAAATGGACAGCGATAGCTAAATGATGGAATGCTATCCTACAATACAGAATAATGAGCTACTGATGTGATAGCACGCATCAGTCTCAAAAACACTGTGCTGCATGAAAGAAGCCATATACAAAATGTGTGTCGAGTGTGATTCCATTTATAGGACTCTGAAGATCTGTCTATGTATAGTGTCTGATTGCAGATCAGTTGTTGGCTGGGGTCAGGGGCTTGGGGGAGATAATCTTAATAAGGCAGAATGGAACCTTTGAGAAGTGACAGAAGGAATCCCTGCTTTGATCATGGTGATGATTAGACAAGGCAAGTGACATTTCAAAAGTCCAGGCTGGGGAGATGACTTAGTGGGTAAAGCACTTGCCATGCAAACTTAACATCTATGCAAATATGAGGCCCTGAGTTCAGATCACCAGCACCTATGTAAGTGCTGGAGGATCATGGTGGTCTGCCCGTAATTCCAATGCTCAGAAAGCAAGATGGAATTCCTTGGAACAAGTTGGCTAGGTACACCAGCCACAGCAGCAAGCTCTGGGTGCACTTGAGAGACCCTGCCTCAATAAGTAAGGAGAACAATCAAGGAAGGTTACTAGCCTCAACCTCCAGCCTCCACAGGCATGTGCACATATGTATCCACACATGCAAACACACACACAGGAACATGCATACCACACACATGCAAAAAAAGTCAAAGTTCATTAAAATGTACAAGTATAATGAGTACATTTTATTGCAAGTAAATTCTTCTTCAATAAATTTTATTTTTAATAACGTTTTGTCTATCAGCTTTGCGAGGATCACAAATTTAAGGAAAGTGCATGGGTGGAGGTACAGGAGAACAGTCCTTCCAGACACTGCTGACCAAATTATAAATCTGTACAGTCTCTGTGGAAAACACTTGGCAAAAGCTATCTAATTTGCAAATACATATGGGCTTTGACCTAGTGATTTCATTTCCAAGTATTTATCACATAAATATTGTTATACATATGCTAAATGACCCCCACACAGTGCTATTCACTGTGGTTTTATGTGTAAGTATAAAATACTGGCAACAATCTTAAAAGTCTGTTAGTGGTAGACTGAGGGGTAAACAAGGGCACTCACAGTCGACTACACTACAGCATTGTAAGGTTAATATGGGTGTAGTTACCTAGCAGGGGGTACCATGATCAAGAAGGTGGTTTTCCCTGGGCAAGGCCTGTCCTCACTCAGGATGTTGACCCCTGCCATTTCCTCAAATATGGAAAAATCAAGGAAATTGACTGCATAATTTGTGGTAGAGGGGGATTGTGTTCATGTGCTAAAATTCTTAAAAGACTGATATACATAAACTATGCTCAAGATACACCATTAACAACAAAAAAAAAAATCTTAGAACACTCTGTGCAGGCTGGGATGTAGCTCCATGACAGAACACCTATCTATTGTATACATGCCTCTGCATTGGGTCCCTAGGAGAAGACCAAAAATGGTTGCCTTGTATACAGTAGTTTACACAATGTGTGTGTACTAGACAGCTTTAGTTGTCAACTTGATACACCTGCGTAGAGGGAGCCTCAATTGGGGAATTACCTCCTTTGAACTGGCTTGTGGCCATGTCTGTGGGGCACCTTCTTCATTATTGGGTGATGTGGGAAGGCCCAGCCCACTGTAGGTGGTGCTACCCCTAAGCAGGTGGGCCTATGCTATATACGAAAGCAGGTTGAGCACAGGCCAGAGGAGCAAGCAAGTAAGCAGCATTCCTCCATGACCTGTAGTTCAGTGCCTGCAGTCCAGTTCTTGCCTCCAGGTTCCTGCCCTGAGTTCCTACCTTGGGCTCCCCGATGAACTGTAACCCAGGAGATGTAAGATAAATAAACCCTTTCCTCCCAAAGTTGATATTGGTCAGAGTGTTTTGGCACCACAATGGAGAAACACATTGAACAGAAAGGAAGTGACAGATGTTGAGGTGACAGACCTGACCTTGGTGTTTGGGGGAGAATTATGGAAGGGTTTGGAACTTTGGGCTGGAAAAGTTCTTAAGAGTTTGTTGCTATGGACCTTCAAATAGTTATGCTGAAAGAGTTGTGGCTTATGAAGCTTCAAAGGGAACTGGAGACCATCAGGGCTATTTGTATGGTATCTTGAATTGAGACTCTGTGGGTTATGGTTGTCTAGGACTGAAGAATCAGCTGTGATTAAGAAGAGACCACAATTACTGAAGTAAAATCTTTATTTTACTGGGACAATTGATGCTGCTTAGCTGGGGCTGAAAAATCAGCTGTAAGTAACAAGAGACCAGCATCACTGTGGTGAAGTCTTCTGGGAGGTAGTTCCGCAGAGTCAGCACAGAAGCTACGGTTCAGAGAAGGCTCAAGCCTCCATCTCAAGCTGGATATAGGATTTGGTAATATGTAAGAGTCTCCTGCATGGTTCTGGTGTTGAAAGTATGAAGGGGTCACAGAGAACAGCAGAGGTTTGGCACCATGAAAGGCCAGGACAGGCCATTGGTGAAAGTGCAGCTTCAGTTGCAGTGACAATCTCAGGATTGAAAGGGTCATGTATGGGCTGTAGAGATGGCTCAGCAGTTAAGAGCACTGACTGCTCTTGCAGAGGAGCCAGGTTCGATTCTCAGCACCCACATGGCGGCTGCGAACCATCCTTAACTCCAGTTCCAGGGGAATCCGAAGCCTTCTTCTGACCTCCACGGCATTGCATGACATGGGTGCACTCACATACATGCAGGCAATACACTCATACACATAAAATAAAAATAATAAAATAGTTTTTAAAAAAGAAAGGGTCATGTAAAGAATCTAAGACTTTGTACCCTGAGAGTCCAGAAGAGGCCTTTAGTGAAAGTGAAGATGAAGCCTCATTTTCAATGGAGACCCCAGCTTTTTGGAGATGCCAGGACCATGGGATAACTATCAAGGGCCCCAGTAGGTATGGAATGGAACTGGCCTGGGTCTGTAAGATGAGCTGTGTGTGCTGTGGACGGCAGAGTCAGAGAAGTGGAGCTGCCAGAGCCCTTTGGAGCCCAGAAGAATGTGAGTGAATCCCAGATGTCCAGCCTTGAGCTACTTTGCTGGACTTAGGTTTTGCTTAAATTTGCCCAATTCTTCCTTTTTCAAATAAGACAATACTTGTTTTGGATTTTATAGGAGCCCACAGTTAAGAGACTTTTAAAAGACACTATGGACTTTTAAGTGTTTGCATTTTTTTAAGAACTGTGGGACTTTTAAGGTTGTACTGTCTTATGTTGTGATATTGTTAACTTCATATCTTGGGAACAAGAAATTGAAAGGTTGTAGTTTCATAGTGCTGTGTTTGTGTGTCGAGTTGACAAGGGATCAATTGTGCTGGGTAGCTTTAGATGTCAACTTGGCACACTTGGGTAGAGGGACCCTCAATTGGTGAACTGCCTCCATTGGACTGGCCTGTGGCCATGTCTGTGGGGCATCTTCTTGATTACTGAATGATGTGAGAGGGCCCCGACCACTGTGGTCAGTGCCAGTGGCCCTATGTTGTATGAGAAAGCACGTTGAGCACAGGCCAGAGATCAAGCCACTGAGCATCGTTCCTTCATGACCTCTGATCCAGCTCCTGCCTCCAGGTTCCTGTCCTGAGCTCCTACCTTGTGCTTCCTGATGAACTCAGGAGATGTAGGCCAAATAAACCCCTTCCTCCCCAAGTTGGTATTGGTCAGAGTACTTTGTCACAGCAATGGAGAAACAAACTAGAACAGACCCCAAGATAAAAGTGCCACTACTGCACCAATGTCTTGCACCGTGCTGGCCATTGATGTGGTTATTTGGTTTTGAAGCTGGTGTGGACCAGCTGTGGCAATAGCCTGTATAAT